CCCCAAAACCCCAAAACCCCAAAACCCCAAAACCCCAACGTTTAATGCTAAACTGAATAAATAACTTTGATTTATTAAAATTAAATATGAAGAAAGAGTCCCGAAAGACTAGAGGTAAAACTGCCTGAGATTACGACTGCTGTTAGATTATTGAAGGCTAGCAGTAGGCTAGGACTAAAAGAAATATTAAGCAAGGAAGCATACCCTAGACCGAGCTTAGAAACTAGCCTTAAGACTTAGAGTAGCTTATCAGGTAGAACATATAGCCAGGTGGTTAGGATTTTAGATATACCACATTTAGTTTTATACACCTGCGGAGCTTATTTTCAGCTCGATTCAAAGAGTTTTTGATTATAACGATTTTAACAAAATGATAAAAATACTGGTTTTTAACTGATTTAGGAACAAGTGCTGATTACAGTTCAATAAATGAGGATGAGGAGAAACCCATGTGTGATGTGTTCTTGGTGACAGGTATCAGAAATGAAGATTGGGGCGATTATCTCAAGACTAGTGACACTTCTCATATCGTAGACCCTAATGATGAAGACTTACTCAAAATGTCCGTATTAGATTATTATCCGAATGATAAACCACTCTCTGAGATCGCATACCTCCAAGGAATTGAAAAATGATGAATGCCTGTAATGGACCAATACATTATTGAACTCAAAGGAGATCATATTTCTTCAGTAGAAGAGAGGCAAAACTCTGAAAACCTGATCTATGATAACAAACACTTCGTTCAAAACTCCAAGCATTATAAATTACGTGATCCTCGATTACAAAGATTGATGCAAGGATCAGGAATACTCAGGTCCTGAAGTGATTTCTCTGATCAGCTCACTCTGATGAACAGCTATGAAATATTTTATTTCACTCTCACTGAAGCTGCTGGAGTTAGGAGATATCTAACATCCATCACTTTCTTTGAACTGTGTCTTGACAGAAGAAACTCTCGTGCATTTCTGGTGCCAATGGTATATAGCTTCATCTCGAATTACCCAATTTTCAAAATCCAAAAGCAATGTCTAATCACAATGTTTCAGGATTTGGTAAAGAACCTGAACTCCAAGTTATTCAACGATATTCCGAAGCTGTTCAAATACGTTGAAGCAGACAACTCAAAGTTATCTCTCTCCTATTCGTTAATGACAAAGAGACTCGCTTTCTTCATATCATTGATGTTCACCTGACTCAAAGCTGGCTGTGGAGGCGAGGTCATCAATGTATTTAAGACTAGTGACAAGAAAAAGAGTTTGATTAAATATGAGAACTCCATAACTTCTAGCCGCCAATTTAAAGTTGAAAATTTTGACTTCCACGTTTTGTTCAGTAAAATAAAGATAAATGTGTTGATACAGCTCTATATCGCTATTCTCTTGGAAAGGAAGATAATTATTATCACTTCAGACACAAGCACTAACTCTATTGTGATAGAGATACTCCTGTCTCTTCTATATCCGATGAAGTGGAACCTGCCCATTGTTTCAGTACTAAGTGAAGCTACTTTTGACTATCTTGATGCTCCAATGCCCTACATAATGGGTATCTCTGAAGAAAATTGGGAAGAAATTAAGGCGCAAAGATGGGATAGTCTTGAAGATGACATTTTCATAGTAAATATAGAGACTAACAAAATTACTGTAAAAGAGCCTCTGCCTCCACTTCCTCCTACCTTTTCAGACGTGCTTGAGAAGACTCTTGAAGGACATTTATCAAAGTTTAATTCAGTAGATAGATCATCAAATGAGAGCGATAAAGATTTTGAAGATTTTTGGGTGAAAGCTAGTCTTACCATAAAGCAAGAGTTTCTCTACTTTATAATCTTCCTGATGAACGACTTTGTACAGTGCTATAAAAGCCACAACAAGCATCTCCAACAGGAGGGAGAAGAAATGAACTCTATCAGAGATATTTTTGTATATGAGGATTATTTGAAATAGCGTTCATAAATCATCAGATTTCTCGCCTGAGTTCACATCAAAATTCATTCATACACAACTATTCACTCTTCTGGTAGAGCATTACTATGCTTTGGATCAAGACCCTCTAAACTCACCTTCAACAGAGTTCCTCGAATCACAAGATACAGATAACAGGATAATTTACTTCAGAAGACTCATCAGAGAGTTTGAAAAATCAGGACTCAGAGGGATCAGGAATATGCACAAGTCAGAAATTGGCTTCGCTCTCGATTGTTATCACCACCCAAATGATGTATCAATAGAACAAATTTATCTATATTTCTCGGATATACTCCAGGATAAACTAGATCAGAGAAAAAGGCGGCCTCCCGTCTGTATAAATTCCCTCAGAGTCCTGAGCTGTATTAAGAAGGAATACGTCGTTGATATCGGAGATTTTTATGAAGAAATCATTGGTGTATCGACTAAAGAAATGTCCATGAGCGAGAACATCAATGTTGCTGATATTCACAAAAGAAAATTCTGAAATATTGAAGTAATGACTAATAAGCGGTGTATTAGTGATGTGCTCTCTAATGGAGAAAGATCAGCAGAATACCGCAAAATGTCTCCGAATGATGATTCTGTTAGTAATTTCCATTCAGAGAAAATACGGCATCAACATAGTGAAAAGATTCCGAACCGAAAATAATAAGTATGATTTCAGGCTCAATTCAAGAGTCAGGTGTGATACAATGAATTATGAGCATGCCAGGCCTAGAGCATTTACTAAAGGGATAAACTGAGAGATAAATTACGCTGATTATAGAATGAAGCATGCTCCTGAAGCAACACCAACAGCTCGACATGATCATATCCTATCCTCCAGAGGCTCTTATGCAAAAGATAGAAGCTTTGAGTTTAAATCTAGAGGTAAAAATTTATCAGAAGAGAGGCCTGTTATAAACCAGCCAAGGTCATTTAAGAACTTTAATAACCAGAAAGAGATGAGAGATATAAAGACAATGAAATCAATTCCAAATACGAGCCAGACACGAAAGTTTAGAGATACATACTCCCAGCCTTTTAAATTTTCAAAATCAAGTTATGGATCCAGATCAAACGAACGTTCTCTAGGTGCTTTGCCTGCACGTGGACACAACAGGTTTCCTCCTAACATGACTAGAGATAGAGAATCTCCCAACAAGCCTTTTCAGGATAGGCACTCAAATGATTCTCCTAGGATGCGTTCTAATTATATGGATAGACATATGTACAAGTCAGATACTTTTCAGCCAAAATTTATATCTCACAGTCGAGATAATGTCACAGATAGTAGTGAAGATGTGGTCCCCAGTCCTAATTATTTCAACGAAAGAAATAGCTCACATAACATTCAACTTGGGTCTTCTAAAGAAGAAACTGTGAATAACTTTGTGAATAGGATCAAAACAAGGAAAGAAAATATGAGATTTAGAGAGTCAAAAATCCCATATGGAGATTCTGCTTGTGAGAATCTCAAACCACCAGCTCTCAAAGAATGATTCTCGATGAAGTCACCAACCCATGTAGCTGACCCTATTGATCTCACTAGAAATTCCTCTTCAGGAAAATACTACGGAGAAAGGGACGGTAGCTCTAATCTGGATAGATACGACCACCTAAACTCTGCGAGAGGTATGGCGTACCCTAAAAAGCCAAGATCCCTCAAATGTTTAGACAAGGATATCCCAGATGAAGGGAAAACTCGGAAAATTTATGCTATTGGTAACCCACAAAGAAATGAACTTAGACACCCGAAGACTAAGAATTTCAGTTTTACTACAAAGAATAATGATAAATCAAGGGATATTCAAGTCATTGGAGGTAGAAAGATATCACTTGGCTTGCAATCTAAAAGAAAACAGCCTAACACTGCTTCGAAGTATAACAATAAGTTCAATGCTAAAGAGAACTATCAGTTTGAAGAAGAAGATAATGTTGCACCTAACTCCGACTCGAAGTGGAATTTCTGGAGTACTCTCAAAAATCCTTTTCAGTGGATGGCCATGCCAGAGGAAAACAAAGAAGGTAAGCCAGTCTCAGCATCGGTCTTATTAATTTTAGGCCTAGATAAGAGAGAAGATCCTTATGATTCAAAGAAAAATAGGTCAATAGTATACAACAAATCGTCCAATTCTAGTCTTCAAAATGTCAAATCAAGTGAGAACTATGCTTCTAAATATGATAAGAGGTATACTGAAGCTCCTAGAGCGGGATATAATCCATCAGGATTCAGAGGTGGGAGGTCCTCTTAATCCTAAATCGACAGTAAAAGCAAGCAGAGAAAGAAGTATTTTTGACTTCTATTCTTACTTAGAGAATTCTCAAAAACTTTATTTCGAGTATCTCCAAAATAGGTCAGACAGGCCAATAGTTTTAAAACAAAAAGGGGTTTTGGGGTTTTGGGGTTTTGGGGTTTTGGGGG